CTCTCTCTAAAGCTCCTCTCTCTGGCTCGCCATACACACAACTCCCCGCCTTCCCGGGGTTACACTTACACAACGCCGCTGTTGAAACAGCGTCATCTATAACCTGAACTGATTACATTTTGAACACTTACGAGTATTGTAACTTTGTCATTTTTATTCATTGTAGTATTTACTGTATTATACATGTTTTTCTTCATCAAGTGTGTATAAAAATTTTTTGATCTCACCCCTGTATATTTAATTAGATTGTGGTTAGTTTGATAATAGTTCCTTTGAAATCCCCTGTGATAGAAAATGGTTAAAGTAAGGTTTAAGTTCATTGGGTTTTGGTAATTTTTTAAGTTTCAAAACTGTTTAACAAAATTTAACATGCTTGTTATTTGCATAATTTTTAAAATTATTTTAGCTCTGTATGTTTATTAATATCACCAAATTGTTAAGACTCTTAAAACAGTTTAAAGTTTTTGAATAGTTATATTATTATTTTTATCATTACTAGCATTTTTATTTATTGGATCCTTTTGGACATAAAAAGCGTTTCCATCTTTTTGGAGGTATTTTATACTTTTATGGAAGTGTTAAATGCTTCGCCGATTCCGAAGATTTTCTCCTGTTATGATTGATTTTCAACCCGACTAGTTAAGAATTTTCTGAATGGAAATCGGTTAAGTTTTAGAATTATGTAAGACACAGTGTACATTAAGATACGATGGATATTTTCTCATATATTATTAAATATCTACAAACTCAGAGGCTAATACAAACATAGAAAATTTAATGCATTAGTACGGAATCTAAGAAAAATTGATAGAATGTCCCCGATATAACACCAAATATGTGGTATTATAACCAACTAATAAAATTTGTTTGTTCCCTATAGCTCTACAGCTTTATTTTGTTTAGATAATTAATTCTTTATTTTTGTATTATAGTTCTAAGATTTGGTTTCATGTGTAGCGTATGGCTTAATTAAAGCTGAATTTGTAATTAAACCATACCAGATTCTTCAATATTTTGACGTAAATGCAACTATCATTTAAATATATGTACTACAGGTTTTAATGGTTAAATATATTAAAAATTTTTATCTCCAGAAGTTATTACGTGAATGAAGTATGTTATAGTATAATGTATAATTGTTTTTACTAAATTTCAAAAAAAAAAATTAAGTTTTCTTTATCAAGTCATACGAAAATGTTTATAAAACGGAAAATTAAAATAGAATCTTAAAAATTAAAGGTAATTTAGAACAGTTTGAATAATCAGTGGTACAAATTTCAAATCCATTAAAACTGGACTATATTTAAAATACAAAGGCAATCGTTATGAAAATAAACTCATGATATTTCACAAAGTCACACATGATACAGAAAAAATCCCAAAGTTTCCCAAGAATGAAATAAAATACTTATAACATGTATTTATTTATATATATATACAATAAATCATATTTTGACATTTAAGTCAATGTAGTTATTACTTCTTTTTTGTATAATTTTAAGCAGAGATCTGGTAAACTTCTACACAAATGTTAATTAAGTTGAGAAAATGACCTTTCTGCTCAATTATTCCGTAAAAATTTTGATCAACACTCCTTTTCAAAGTATTCTGTAGTTTTGAATACCATCATTGTATTTTTTTTCGAAAAAGTTCTAAATTAATTTCAGCAGCTTGGTCAATAAAAAATACATCGAAGTGACATTACTTAAAGAGATTACCTTATAATGAAATTATGAGCTTATGTTTTCATTAACTCATCTTCGATAAAGTCAATCCAATTTCACCGAATGGCCAAAATTAAAAACTGATTACGACTAATGACCCAAATATTAAAGAATATTAATTAGAATTTTTTCGTTAGCAGACATTACTTATTGTATTATTTAATTACTCAACAAAACTTTATGTTAAACTAAGCCCTGACAGAGTGCTTCAAATCATTTTCATTACACCCAAAAAGAACAATGTTGAGGGTTTCTTTTTTCACATTTATTTATCAAATTTACTTAAAATGACATTTTACATATAAATAATGTTTTAAAGATTACCTAACTGTTGTGGGATTTTCCTATGTTCAACTAATGTTTCCGTTTGAATGGCGTTTTTCTTATGTTTCGCTATGTGTCTCTTAGATAAGTGAGAACAACTACATTTGGAAACTC